ATATATATATATATATATATACTTCCCCAGGATCAATGTTATTATGTATCACAAACATATACTACCAAAAAAAGCTTTTTAAAACGTTTTTTAAAATGTACAGATAGAAGATGGTCAAAAGTAGATGAGTTTCTGCTTTATTTTAGAATCAGAAACACTTGTTGATAGTTTCCAGTCTGAAAAAAGTAGGAGGAGCAAAGGCCACCGTTGCCATGTTACGGCGACGGGAGGTTCTGCGTTCTTACGACAGTGGTGAAAAGCACAGCACAGCCTTCCGCTGGTGTGCTGAGTGTTTTGCGGGATTATGATGGAGACCAAATTAAAGGTGACTTAAGCATGAAAGCAGCTCTGAACCACAGCAAGCGTCCGGGCAGCCTCGTTACAAGCATAAGGGCACCCAGGTTCTCTCAGGTGACAGCAGAACTGTGCCTTCCTAGCTGCTTCACTGAGCGACCTGGCGCATCCATCTCCAGGGAACAGCAGCTACGGGTCCTCCTGTGCCCAAGTCCATGTATCAGCATCGGACGGATGGGCCTGCTTGAGTGTCATATCTCTCTTGAACCTGCTTTCTGCCACTCAGGGAGAGGACGCGGTGCTTTGCTACCAGCAGCTGTGGAGTATTCCTCTGAGAGAGGTGGTCTGCAGTCTGGTCAGTTGCGAGTCCTCTCTTGTCTGGTTGCATTGCCACTTTTCCCATCCAGAGGTGTGCTTCTGTCTCCTTTCTCTTAGCTCTGCGTGCCCCTGGTACCTGTATGTGATGGACGTGAGTAGGCTTTCAGTGCCTTTCACCTTCCATCTCCGCCCCTTTGGCATGAGCCTTCATGTAGGGAACCTTGAGTTGGACTACAGATGAAGACAGAGTGCATGACAGAGAAGCCTGTGCCATACCAGCCTTCTCAGCCTTTTCCCCACTCCCAGCATGTGGGAGAGAAGCCAGGTGGATGTTCTAGCACAGAGCAAAACCCCAGCTAATTGGAACCACATAGCAATGATTACAGGATTTATGAGACCCAGTGCAAAATAAAAATATAGATCTTCTTTTTTAAAAAAAGAGGAGGAAATGCTGGTAACTATTAAAATATAAAGTTTGCTCCGTTTTGTCAATGCCCCCCCCCGCTGGTATCTTTAAAGTTTGATATTTAGGGTGGCTGTAACTAAAGAAAATGACAATATTAAACTTTACTACTCATTTCTATCTTGTGCAGTTCTAGTTGTGAGTACAAATGTCAGAGCACTTAACTCATGTGGAAATCACTGAAATTTCATAATCTGTATTTTGTGACTCATCACTGGAAAGTGGCTCCAGATGGTCAAAAGGAGAGCTTTGGAGAAGGAGTGGATCTCTGCCGGCACAGATCAAGCCTGGAGACTGTGGGACAGGCGTAGCTGTCGCAGGTTTCTGGGGCCCCTGGCCTATGAAATAGGATTGGGCAAGACGGTTGCCAAGCTCCTCTGCACACTGTTAGATTGATCCCCAGGACCAGCTGAGGCTGGGGAAGCTACACATTATGGGTCCCACATCCTGCCGCCCTAACTGTGGTACACAGGTGGTTTCTAATGCAACCTCCGTACTGGGATGGAGGTGTCACCTGAGTCAGTGGAGGGTCAGGGGTCTGAAACAGGGAGAATGAGACAACTGGAGCCTTAGCCTTCGAGCTCATCCTGACTAGAAAACGTTAAAAACAAACTTTACTAGAGAAATTTCCCTACAAAACATGTTAAGGGTAAGGACTTAGAAAGAGGGGAAAACCAGATAAAGAAAGGCACCAAATGACCTTGGAAGCTGCACTGAAACAACAACAAAAAACCAAAAAAAAAAAAAAAAAAACAAAAAAAAAAAACCAAAAAAAAAAAAAAAAACAAAAAAAAAAAACCAAAAAAAAAAAAAAAAACAAAAAAAAAAAACCAAAAAAAAAAAAAAAAACAAAAAAAAAAAACCAAAAAAAAAAAAAAAAACAAAAAAAAAAAACCAAAAAAAAAAAAAAAAACAAAAAAAAAAAACCAAAAAAAAAAAAAAAAACAAAAAAAAAAAACCAAAAAAAAAAAAAAAAACAAAAAAAAAAAACCAAAAAAAAAAAAAAAAACAAAAAAAAAAAACCAAAAAAAAAAAAAAAAACAAAAAAAAAAAACCAAAAAAAAAAAAAAAAACAAAAAAAAAAAACCAAAAAAAAAAAAAAAAACAAAAAAAAAAAACCAAAAAAAAAAAAAAAAACAAAAAAAAAAAACCAAAAAAAAAAAAAAAAACAAAAAAAAAAAACCAAAAAAAAAAAAAAAAACAAAAAAAAAAAACCAAAAAAAAAAAAAAAAACAAAAAAAAAAAACCAAAAAAAAAAAAAAAAACAAAAAAAAAAAACCAAAAAAAAAAAAAAAAACAAAAAAAAAAAACCAAAAAAAAAAAAAAAAACAAAAAAAAAAAACCAAAAAAAAAAAAAAAAACAAAAAAAAAAAACCAAAAAAAAAAAAAAAAACAAAAAAAAAAAACCAAAAAAAAAAAAAAAAACAAAAAAAAAAAACCAAAAAAAAAAAAAAAAACAAAAAAAAAAAACCAAAAAAAAAAAAAAAAACAAAAAAAAAAAACCAAAAAAAAAAAAAAAAACAAAAAAAAAAAACCAAAAAAAAAAAAAAAAACAAAAAAAAAAAACCAAAAAAAAAAAAAAAAACAAAAAAAAAAAACCAAAAAAAAAAAAAAAAACAAAAAAAAAAAACCAAAAAAAAAAAAAAAAACAAAAAAAAAAAACCAAAAAAAAAAAAAAAAACAAAAAAAAAAAACCAAAAAAAAAAAAAAAAAAAAAAGTTGGCAGGCAGGGGACAGAAAGAAACCCAAGTACTCAAATGATAAGCCACCCCCACAGAGGGGGGCTAACTTTAAGGCAGTCTATATCACACCTGTGCACTAACATGTACATGTGCGTGTGTCCACTCTAGAGTCACCATTTTATTCACTCGAGTCATTACAGAGTACAATGGAGATCCACAGGCCCCCTTTCTCGCTCTAAGCTAACCATGAGTAAGGCACCCCTTGCCAATGAGCCACCCACCCCAAAGAGAAGGTAGGTCAACAACACGTAGCAAGCAGATAGAAGCTTCATTGTAGACCTCCAGAGGCAGAGGTTCCCAAAAGCCAACCCACTTATTCCAAGTTCTGGGTATGGGGAGGGGTTGTCACTCATCTCCCTATACAAAGCAGCTGGAAACAAAGGCCCCATGGGTCCTTCATCTTTCTAGAGCCCTGATTCTTATCAGGACAGCTATTGAGCTCCTCTCTGCCCCATCCTTTTCCTCTTAATAAATACTCTTCCTTTTGTTAAACTTTGTCCCTGTAATTTCTTATTGGGGCTGAGTTTATGATCCTGGTCGGCTGCTCAGACCCAAGAGCAGTGGTGCTCGTTCCCCAGATGCAACTTCCTTGGTTCCCTGACCAGGAAACAGACATGATGTTAAGGACAGACAACAGGCTGGCACTGGAGTTCACTGACGTGACAGATGCCAGCCAACAACCTCAGGAGCAAAACCACTGCAGAACCCAGCCAATCTACAGCATCACAAGTAAAAAATAAACTGCTGGTTACCATCTTAAACTACTAAATCTGGTGTTGTGGTTTGTGTCTAGATGTTTCCCCCAAAGCCTCATGCAATCACAGATGGGCTTTTTGGAAGTGGCTGGATCTAGAATGTGTGATGTTAGTTAGAATCAAAGATGCAATGCTGGGATTAAGAGAGTCAACGACACCTACCCTATGGTTGGGTAGCCTGGATAAGATATAAGGGATGACGTACAAAGAATTGTTGCTTACTGCTTATTGAGATGTCCTTCTGCTACACCATGGTGCCTTGGAGCCAGCCAACTATAAATTGAAGCCTCTACAAACTGTGAGACAAATAAATCTTTCCTCCTTTAACTTTGGGAGTCAGTTATTTTGTCTCAGCAATGAGAAAGGTATCTAAGGTACCTGGGATACAAATTACACAGGTCTGGATGAATTTCAGAGTAGATAGTGACCGCTCCAGGCTTCCCATATTTCACCCCTCTGCCCTTTATGGATAGAACATCAAATGCAGTCATCCAAACCCATCTCATCGTGGTGTAGTGTGTCTGTCAAAGGTCATCTGTATTTTTAGTTCTCAGCTGTGTAGATCAATAGGCGCTATATCTGAGTGGTTACCTTCAAGGAATTGTGCCTCACAGTCTTCATTTGCATCCATACCTCACTGGATGATGAAACTTTAGACTTGGGTCTTCAGCTTGATGCTAACTCTGGGGAACTGGTAGATGCCAAGGTTATGTCTGAGGTATTTGTAGTAAGGGGGTGAAGTATAGTGGTTCATCAGCAAATACCTTTACCTACATTTCTTTCCCTTATATATGTACACTGCTCTTTCCATCCAGAGGGGGATCTGATGTCTTTTATCCTGGAATCAGAATTGGCATTGTGATGCATTTTAACCCACAGAATGTGGTGAAAGAGACATGTGTGACTGTGGAATTTGGTTTTAAGATACCTGTGGCTTGTGTTCTCTTGCAGCAATCGCAGGCATCCCAGGCTCTGGCGATTTCCTGGTAGAATGCAGCCCCCTACCCCTAGAGAGCATTCGGGAGGGCCATGCTGGGTCTAGCTGACCCATAAATAATGGAATGTAATAAAATATTGCTGTTCTGAGCTTTGGGGTCTTTTGTTACACAGCCACTGATAACAAAACACCTTGTAAGTAATCAGGACAAGGCTCTGATTGACATCCTCCATGGGCAGGATTAGAAATAGAAAATAGAAATGTTGGCATCTCTATGCTCCAAACTTTGGCTGTGCCATACATTCCTGAGCTTTTAAAGAGCCCTTTCTTTACAAAGACTATCACATGCATATAGGAGAGCAGATGTACCCATTTCTTCCCACAGAGACAGAGGCAACACGGTACTTTCAGTTATTATATCCAGCTCCCAAGTCCACATCTCCTGACTGAGCACCAGGTGAATTTCTCTTGGCCTATCAACTTGTAGACCAAGCACACCCAACAGATAATGGAGGCAAAACAGGAAGAGAATAAGGTTCATTCTATAAAGCATGGAAGTGATAATGGCTTCTGTGTGTGCAGCCTTCCTGGGTATGGCATGGTCAGGTTTGGTGGTTTGGGTGGGTCAGGGGAGTCTCCTGCTCAGTCTACCTGGCCCATCTGTTTGACTCATTGAAAGCTGCCTTTGGTCCATTGTGATATCAGACCAGTTTGATTCTGGTGCTGGAAAGGGCTCCCCTCCCTGTGGACTGCATCATCAGGCTGCTTTCTGTTATCTAGTGGCCTGGGCAGTTGTGCAACCAGTGTCCTATATTTACCAGGACTGAAGTTCTTCCTGCCAGTCAGGGATTCTGAAATCTCGGTCATCTGCTAATTGATTACATTTCTAGAAGCACCACTGAATGGAAAGGAAAGACAAGGGCTTTGAGTGTCAAGAGTCTAGGAATCTGTACACACCTGGAGGTTTTTGTTGCTTATTAATGGGTCTCAAATCTGACTCCTCCTGGATTCCTCAGCTCCCTAGGGAACTTTTCTGAGGAGCTAGTTCAGCAGGAAGCAAAGTTAATCTGTCCCCTGGGCCTGGCTCGAGGCTCTAAATCACAAAGCAGGTATTTCTGGAGGAATTCCACAGAGGGGTCAGCTTCTCCAATTTTCTGACTCCTTCGTACTTCCAGTTGCATTTCCCAGCTCCAACAGCTTTAGCAGCTTCCGCAGATTCACAAGCTGCATAAATCTGATTTTTAGTGACCCAGGACAGCTGCCTAGAGGCAAAAAAAATCTCTGAACAAAATACCCATCATCTCTTTCCATTTTTCAAAAGTCTGGCCTGGGGAGAAGGTTGTCCCTCTACTGCAATCCAATTGTGAAAGCTGTAAGAGGAAGACGGTAAGTACTTCCTAATCCTGGTGACAGTTTCCAAGCCCTCTGAGTGCCAGTCTCAGAAGCTACAGGTCTGAAATGTGAGATACACTTTGTCACTATTTATTTGCTGCCCCTTTGCTACTGCAGAGGAGGAACTGCCTGCTTCTGGATTGTAGGAGCTTTCTTACCTGTCACCCTAACCTGGGCACATGTGAACCTGTACTTTTCCAAGCCAGGTGCCTCTGCTCAACAGAATTCCTCCAAAATAACTCACCTAAAAGTAATTTAAGGAGGAAGGTAGAAGGAAATACAAGGTAGACTGGCTACAGGCCTCTGCAGATCAAGCAGCTCAGCTGATGCCACTGGTCTCTGATATTATTTTGCCTTTTTCCCTGTAGTGATTCCACGCACTTTACCAAATGCTAATTAACAAGATTCCCCTGCATATCCTGCATCTATATCTTTATTGCTTATGATCTTTACGAAAAGTGCCCTTTATGTCACAGAATCTATAGAATGTTTCTCATAGAAAACACCAGCTTAACCCTGCGTGTTTGGGTCTCTGTGTAAGGGGCAGGATCCTGTTTGCCCCTGTGACTAGAAGGGATAGCAGCTGAGGAATGAGAGCCACAACTCGGGAGGACCAATCTCTCAGGTAACTGGGATCTGAAAGAGAAAAACACACAGACACACACACACACACACACACACACACACACACACACACAATGGTGCCTAGTATTTCTGTTACAGGGGATGATATGCTTCACATTTTCACATCGAGTTAACCCTGGGACTTATGCAGCCTTAGAGAAACAATCTACCAGTGAGGCTTCCAGCTCTCCCATGGCCAGGTGTTTCCACCAGAGCCAAGGAGCTGGCCAAGGGCAGGCGTGGCCTTCAAGCTTGGTTTTAGATTCAAGATGTCTGGTCTTATTGCTGAAACACTCCCTCTGCAAAGGCACTGCTGTGCTGCAGAATCTAAGGCCCTGATGCTTGATTCTTCCAGTCTCCAAGAGTCCTGGGGCAGTGGCTTCTCACCCTTAATTCAACTAGAGGACATGGGGCTGAGTTGGGGCTGCAGACAGTCTTTATAATGGTCCAGGTAAATCCAAGTCCAGGTTTCAATTCAGCTTTTGTCCCAGAAGCAAATGTGCTCTTTTCTAGTTTCTCTTTTCTTTAAGTTGAGTTCTTGCTGAGCTGTGCCTCAGACCCCAGGGAAACAGATTGCATGGGGCCTCTCTGTTGGGCCTGCCTCTCACCTCTGCTTTTACTCAATTGTAAGACTTTTACTCCAAAGGAAACTTATCGCCTGTGGTTGTTTCCAGTTCCAGGGACTTGCGTGGTGGAGGCTGTCTTTTCCTATCAGGGCCTAAAAAGTGCCAAAGTCAACAGAGACATCAGTTCTCTGTGGCCAGCCAGGGATGAGATCAGTGCAGCCAGCAAGCTATCTTCAGAAGTGCATCCAAGTTCAAAGTCCCTGAGGGAAGCTGTGGACAGAAATCTCTTCTTTCTGATGAATAATTTGCTGCTTATTTTATTTTGCAAAAACTACATGCTTAACACTAAAAATGGGGAAAATACATGTTTGTCAAGAATAAAGTTAGATCACTTGAATCTCAGAGTTAATTGTTCTTAGCACTTCAGTGAGTTACTGATTTAAAGTGGCTTGGAAACTAAATAAATTTCTGGGGAAGAAGTCAAAATGAAGCAAGTGCCCATGTGTGGGGTGCGAAGTTGTGGCCCATTATGATGCTCTGCCTTCTCTCCAGTGTGTTGGGCTTAGGTCTGCTTAGGCCACATGCTCTATTGCTTAGCTCACATGGCCCAGGAGAACCATCTCTAGTCGTGGTGTAATAGCCTTCTCCTGCACCTTGGCTGGGCTGAGGAGCTCAGCTACAAAGGAGGAGGAGATACTTGCCTATAAGGAGGAGGTGGAAGCATCTCTGTGTACCACACCATCTCTGCAGGAGTTTCCCCAGGCTTGAAGAATAATGTATGTGAAGGCAATGTATTCTTCATGGTTATTAACTGCTGCAAGATATCAACAAGTGCTTGCCCTTAGTGTTAAAACTGAAGCAAAACTTACCAGTGCACCCACTCTCTGTCTATCTCTGGGCCCAGTGTTTCTCTTATTTAAAAGCAAGTACTTGCCAGATAGATTATGAGATGGTTTTGATGGCCAGTCAGAGGAATAAGAAAAGAAACTCCCAACATGAGAGCTGAAAGGAGAAAAACAAGATATCTTAACCCAAGGGACTAAATCAATTATATTAGCCAGCTTTCAGTTGCTCAGACAAAATACCCAACACTCACAACTTAAAAGAGGAGACATTTAATTTGGTTCATAGCTCATGGGACCCTGTCTGTAGCTGGCTGACTCCAAGGCAGAAACATCATAGTGGAAGGGCATGGCTAAAGAAACCTTGTCACCTTGTGGCAGCCAGGAAGCAGAGAGAGAAAGGAGTTGTGGGGGAGAGAGACACCCTACAAAGGGACCCACAGTGACACACCTCTTCCCACCAGGACCATATGACAGCACATACAGTCATAAACTCATGAATGGATCCATCCGGTGACGATTATGGCACCTTCCAAAAGCCCCATCTCAGGACATGTGAGTCTTTTGGGGGACATTCTAGGTCTAAACCAGAACATCAGCGAGTGAACAGAGGGCCTAAAAATGAGGAGCGGAGAACGCGTCAGGGAGGCTGTAAGTCTAGGAGACATTGAGGGGCAGCAGGAAGACCCTAAACCTAACCCGGCCATGCACAAGGAGAGGAGAGGGAGAGAGTGCTCAGAGAATGCACAGGGGGCAGAAAGAGGCCTTTGCATTGATTATTTCTGAAGAAAGGGCCAGAAGATTGTAACCCTAACACCCATTTCCAGGGTTCCACTTCCCACAGGTCTTGGCCTGGCTTCACACTGTGGAATCAGATGCCCAGGCCTTGTTCACAAAACTGAAAAGTGAACGGTGGAGGCTGTGGTGAATGCAAATGAAGGGTGCAGGACAGACCCGTGGTGCAGGGGCAGAAAGAGACCTTCTGCAAGCAGAGGAAATTTCTGCAAATCTGAGCTGCAAGAGAAGTGGTAATAAAGCAGGTGAGGTTATGGCCTGATGGCACTGGAGCTAGATGTATGGCCCACATGGCAGGGTGATCTTCCTGAAGACCTAGGCAAAGAGTCAGCCTCCACCGTGCCCCATGCTGCATGTGGAGCTGGGCAGCAAAGGATGACAAACTCTTGGCAGCCTCTCAGTGCTTAAATCCAGAGATCTGAGAGGTGAGTATGAGGGCGCCTCAGAAAAGCTGGAATTTGTGTTCTGGAAGACGAATAGTTGGATTTCAGAGTCTGCTTTTGTCAGGCTCTTTTTAGAATCCAACTGCTATGTATCTAAAAATGTTCCCTCCAAATTCTCACATGGACAGAGGTGAGGCTTTTGGAATGTGTTGGATTATGGGGCACTGTACTCGTTAGTGGATTAGTCCATAGATGAGTTCATAGCTGTACACACTATTGCGAGGTGGGCTGG